TGCTTCTTCCACTTTCATGGGCACCAGAATCACCTGGAGGATCCTGCAGCTGCTGCAGGACTCAGCCCTGGTACCAGAGTCTGAGAACCACTGCTCCAATGTCTAGAGCCAGGTGGTTGCACAGAGATTCTGTGAATCCCTTTCCATCCTAAGGATGATGGAGAATTCCTACACCTTCCAACTCAGCCCAGGTGGAGAATCAAGGACTGGGACCAGGGCCTTTTTTCTTGGGCCGTTTTAATATTGCCACCTGCTCAAACAGAGCCATGAACGAGAGGTTCTAGGGCCTTTGTAACAAGGCCAGAATAAATGGAATGTGTTTTCCCCACCTCTAAAACAAAGGCAGCCTGAAATGCTGCAGCAGAGAGCTGCAGTCCGGGGAGGTCCTCTCCTCGACTGGACTGGGACAGCTTGCTGACCTTGTATTGCCTCTTTTGTGAAGTGTTTTGTGCAGCACTTGAAGTCTGAAGTTTTACCTTGGAGTTCTCAAAGTTCAAGTACCCTTGTGCCCTGCCCAGCTCAACAGGCATGCACCTGGGGTACAAACTCAATCACAGCTCCCAGACTCCTGACTCCCAGTCCTTTCGCTGTTGGATCCTACTGTCCTTGTGCAACAAAGATAACAATTTAAAGCACAGCAGAGAGACTCTATGGGAGCAAAATTGCTTTCAGAGAGAAACATTTACCAAGAAGAACACAACAGCCATTCCAAAGAGTAGAGGTGAATTTTGACTGGTATGAGGCTGGTTCTCCACCCCAAGTGCCCACTGCATGGAAAGGGGCAAGCACTGTTTTCACCAAGAAAATCAAATTATAAATTCACATCATAGATAGATACAAATAGAAACAATGACTGGGGGCCAGTGCCGTGGCTCACTTGGTTAATCTCCGCCTGCAGCGGAGGCATTAACCCATATGGGCACCGGATTCTAGTCCTGGTTGCTCTTCTTCCAGTCCAGCTCTCTGCTGTGGCCCGGGAAGGCAGTGGAGGATGGCCCAAGTTCTTGGGCCCCTGCACCCACATGGGAGACCAGGAAGAAGCACCTGGCTCCTGGCTTCGGATCGGCGTAACTCCGGCCGTAGTGGCCATTTGGGTGGTGAACCAACAGAAGGAAGACCTTTCTCTCTGTCTCTCTCTCACTGTTTAACTCTGTCAAATAAAAAAAAAAAAATGACTGGCATTGTGACGTGCTCATTAGCTGCTAGAGTATGTGCTAAAATAAGCAGCATTTTCAGCCCTAACTATGATACAAAAAACACTACCATGCTCATTTTACAAATGTGGAAAATGAGAAACAGAATCATATTTTTCCCACAGTTCGATAGACAGTTTGGCATCCAGAGCTGCACTCTCAGCCATAGACCATATGTAGCCCATTGCAAAACATTTTGCTGTGGTGGGGAAAGAGTCTAACGTTATTGTGCCGAACAGGAATTTTAAGATAGGTACAAAGTAACTGCAGGAAATTCATGGAAGGGCTAATGTTGTGGTACAGTGGGTTAAGCTGCCACTGGTGACATTTGCATCCCATACTGGAGTGTCAGTTTGAGTCCCAACTGCTCCACTTCTGATTCAAATTCCTGCTGATGTACCTGGGAAGATAATGGAAGATGGCCCAAGTATTTGAGTCCATGCCTCCCATATGGGAGACCCAGATGGGGTTTCCAGCTTCAGCCTGGTCCAGTCCCAACCATTGCAGCCATTTGGGGAGTGAACTAGAAGGTGGACAATCTGTGTGTGTGTGTGTGTGTGTGTGTCCCTCTGCCTGTCAAATAAACAATAATAAAAAGTTCATGGTAAAGTAGAATTAAAGTATTTATTTCATAAAAAACTTTTTGAAATCCATGCATAGTTTTTCTTTTTTTAAAAGATTAATTATTTTAAAGGCAGAGTCACAGAGAGGCAGAGACAGAGAGAGAGGTCTTCCTTCAACTGGTTCACTCCCCAGATGGCCACAACAGCTGGAGCTAGGCTGATCTGAAGCCTGGAGCCTGGAGTGTCTTCCAGGTTTCCCATGTGAGTGCAGGGGCCGAAGGAGTTGGGCCATCTTCTGCTGCTTTTCCAAGCCATAGCAGAAAGCTGGATCAGAAGTGGAGCAGCTGAGACTTGAACCAGTACCCATATGGGATGCCGACACTGCAGATGGCCACTACACCCCATAGTTTTCATAATCTGCTTTTTCCAAGAACTTTTTGAAGACCTCATGTTTATATATCTATATATCTATGTATCTATCTATCTACTCATCTCTCTAGGCACTAGAACTGTATTTCTATGTGGATGGAAGACAAAAGTCTTACTGAGCTCCCTATTTTTATAAAACGGACTACATTGTGGCTCTTCTAGTTGCAGACAGGTGGGAGCTCTGGACCCTGCCCACTCCCACAGCCTCTTCTCTACCCTTAAATGAAGTGCTTCCACTTCTATGCTTTCAGAACTCAATATTTCCAATCCCAAGTCCACTCCTTGACCTCCTCCTACCTGGGTTAACTGAAGATTTTTTCCAGTTCCAGTCATGGAGGGCAGGGACAAAGCATGGAAATGCCCTGGAGCAGAGTGGCTGTGGGCATGCCTAGCCTTTCAGAGACAGGGAAAATACCGTCAATATGATGAACATGATTGAGCACCTAAAATTGTAGTTAATTAAAGGCAGCATGGACAGGAGGTGTTTGCAAAGTATTGTGAGAGAGAATTCAGGTAGAATGTTAAGTCCAAAGGCCTGGTGTTTACTCATGTAAAGGTGCAGTCCAGCTTGGAGTTTTGTGTAGGTGTGAGCATATTCAATAAGCAATAATGAAGTGGCATTCATCTAACCTAAGTCACTAATGGGTTGGCCTGTGTTGGGGGCAGGAGCACATTTGCTAACCCAAACATTTGTTCATGAAAGGCCCACACCACCTCTATGCCTCCAGAGTCACTTGGAGTCACCAGAATCTGAGGTCTCAGTTGTTCAACACCAGCCCACAATTCACAGCACACTCACAGGGGGTGGTCTCAGGTAGATCTGTCCAGGGACCCGAGTGGCATGTGACTTGTCACTCTATCTGCACCATCCTGCGGCCTGTAACTGTCATTCGGGGTCAGTGAGCTGTCTGGCCCACTCAAGGTCAGTTCCAAGGAGAGAATACAGCTAGGCGCTTCTTCACCAAGGCTCTGAACTCTGGAGTGGCAAGAATTCAAGAGCCTATGGCGGTTCCTTTTATGTGGTCCATTAAATCAATGACCAATTTGACCCATGGGGGGAGGGAGAGCAATCTCACCATTAAAAAGACTTCAACCTTGAAATTACCTTTTACGTTCTGGCAGGTTTTCTTCTGGTCTTCCTGCTTTTGCATAACTGAATTTACAGCATATATTCTATTTTGCTTTTTCTTTCACTTATTTGTATTGTAGGCATTTTCCCATTATTAATTACTTTGCATAAGCAACAATTATAAGTAAATTTACCTTAGCCTTGGCTGCTTCCTGTATAGAATTAGGTGGTGGTTCTCTAATTTCAGTCTGCATCCGTATTATCCAGAGGGTTTGTTAAAATACAGATTGCTGGCCGGCGCCACGGCTCAATAGGCTAATCCTCCGCCTGCAGCACCAGCACCCTGGGGTTCTAGTCCCGGTTGGGGCACCGGATTCTGTCCCGGTTGCCCCTCTTCCAGTCCAGCTCTCTGCTGTGGCCCAGGAGTGCAGTGGAGGATGGCCCAAGTGCTTGGGCCCTGCACCCCATGGGAGACCAGGAGGAAGCACCTGGCTCCTGCCTTCAGATCAGCGTGGTGCGCTGGCTGCAGCGCGCCAGCCACATGGCCATTGGGGGGTGAACCAATGGAAAAGGAAGACCTTTCTCTCTGTCTCTCTCTCTCTCTTACTGTCCACTCTGCCTGTCAAAAACAAACAAACAAACAAACAAAAAAAAACAGATTGCTGGGCCCCATCCTCGGAATTTCTGAGTCAGTCAGTTCAAAGTAAGGCCTGGGAGTTTGCCTTTCCAAGTTCTCAGGTTATACTGATGCCAAGATCAGAAAGACACACCTGGAGAACCAGTAACAAGATGAGATTCAGTTGGAGAGTTCCAAGGTCACAGATGGTCTCAAAAATCTAAGCTTTTAGGGGCTGGTGCTGTGGTGTATTGGGTAAAGCCTCCCATATGGGCGCCGGTTCTAGTACCGGATGCTTCACTTCTGATCCAACTCTTTGCTATGGCCTGGGAAAGCAGTGGAAGATGGCCAAAGTCCTTGGATCCCTGCACCTGCATGGCAAACCCAGAAGAAGCTCCTGGTCCTGGCTTTGAATCAGCCCAGCTCTGGCCATTGCAGCCATTTGGAGAGTGGATGGAAGACCTTTCTCTCTGCTTCTATGTCTCTGTAACTCTACCTTTCAAATAAATAAATGAATCATAAAAAAATTTTTTAAATATAAACTTTTGCATATTTTTCAAATCTTAAAGCAACTCTAAAATACACAAGCTGGTGTTGTGACTCAATGAGTTAAATTATTACTTGTGACACTGGCATCCCATATTAGAGCACCAGTTTGAGTCCTGGCAGCTCTGCTTCTAATCCATCTCCCTGCTAATGTGCCTGGGAAGACTGCAGAAGAGAGCCCAAGTACTTGGACCCTTGCCACCCATGTGGGAGACCCAGATGGAGTTCTAGACTCCTGGCTTCAGCCTGGCCCAGCCACAGGGAGCTGTTGTGGTCATTGTCAGGGTGAACCAGAGGATGCAAGATAACTCTTTGTGTGTCTATCCTTCTCTCTCTGCCTTTCAAGTAAATAAACCTTAAAAAATTTAAATATGTTAGTTTTTAAAAACTTTAACAAAACCGTATGGTTTTTGAAAAATAAAAAGGAACATCACCCATCACTTGTAAATAATCATTTCCACTTGTATCTCAAATGAGGAGCCTTGTTTCTCTTTGAAGTTACCTGGACTTTTAAAGGATATGTTTAAAAAGACAGTCAGATTTACATCTGATACTTTATTGTTTTTTTCTTTTCTGTTACACAGTTCCATATGTATTGAAGAGCTGTGCAGAATTTATAGAGACTCATGGGATTGTGGATGGAATCTATCGGCTTTCTGGAGTCACCTCAAACATTCAACGGCTAAGGTAAGCTCAAAGAATAGCCCCCACAGGAATTCTCCCATGATCCTTCCTCTGGCCAGCGCTCTGCCTGCAGGTGTTGGGAGTATTAAAAACCCAAAGAGATAAAAGGAAAGGTGGCCAGGCTGAGATCAGATGCCTCTGTTTTCAGATGCCTGACTGTTCTTATTCTAATCAGGAAGCTACCCAGCCTGATGTAATTCTTTCCAATAAAAAGCTCCTGAGGGCCTTTAATCTGCTTGTTTGTCTTGAACCAGATCTACCCTTCTTAAGTGGACTTAACTCCAATGATTTAAGTTATGAGTTAGAAACACGTGATTTATAACCATCTGCTTGCCTACCCAAAACTTAGTTGGATTGGCTCTTGGTTCCATAATGTTCAGAACTTAAAGGTTCTTGTCACATTTGATGTTCCATGTGGTTGAAAAATCAGAAGTGTGCATAACTGTGTATTTCTCTAATGGATATTGACTAATACCTAATTGATATTATTTAAAACATTACTGGATGAATTATTTCCAATTCTACAGATTTATCCTAAAAATTTGAAAGAAATTCTATTATATTAATAGGCCAGACATGGAGCCAGCATTGTGGTGTAGTAGGTTAGGGCCACTGCCTGTGATGCCAGCGTTGCATATGAGTGCCAGTTTGATTCCCCGCTGCTCCACTTCTGATCTAGCTCCCTGCTAATGTGCCTGGGAAAGTATGAAGGGTGGCCCAAGTACTTGGGCCCCTGTACCCACATGGGGGACTGGAATTTAGCTTCTGGCTTTAGCCCCTCCCAGCCCTGGCCATTGTGGCCATTTGGGGAATGAACCAAGGATGAAAAATCCCTGTCTGTCTCTCCTTTTCTCTCTGTAATTGCCTTCCAAATGAATGAATCTTAAAAAAAAAAAAAAAAAAGAGAGAGCAAAAACTTTTACCCAAAACACAGCTATATGTTTTATATAACTAATATATATAGATATATATAATATAGATAGATATATATTATATATAATATAGATATATGATAGACTACATTTAAAGTATACATAATATATATGTATATAATATCCATAATTTACTATGACTAAAATAATAGGCATAGGTATTTTGTATATTATTCTTTTTAAAAAAGATTAATTTATTTATTTGAAAGACAGATTTATAGAGAGAGGAAGAGGCAGAAAGAAAGATCTTCCATCTACTGGTTCACTCCTTAAATGACCACAGCTGGGTCTGGCCAAAGCTAGGAGCCAGGAGCTTCATCCAGGATGCAGGGTTTCAAGCACTTGGACCATCTTCTGCTACTTTTCTAGACCATTAGTAGGGAGCTAGATAGGAAGCAGAGCAGCCAGGACTCAAACCGGCACCCATGTGGAATGTTGGTGTTGCAGGCGGCAGCTTAACCCGATGCACCTTAACCCACTGTGCCACAGTGCTGGCCCTCACATATTATTCTTTAATGGAAGATATATATATATATAGTATATATATACTATGTTATGTATAATGTGTAGTTATATATTGACTTTTAAAGCAATAAAACATTTTTATTACAAGATAAATATGTAAAATAAAGTAGATTTTATTACAAAATAAATATGTAAAATTTAATAGATCGTGCAAAGTAATTCAGCTTTCATCTTTTTCCCCTATCCTATTTGGTTTCTGCCACAAATCTCAATTGTAATTTAGTTATACCAAAAGAAGTCTCCTTATACCTGGAGACTGAAGGTTATTTTTTTAAAAATTGGCTTATTACAGCCATATATTTATATAATTCACAAATTATAAGTGTACCACTTTTTAGAATTTCAGCAGCAAATACTTTTTAATGCAGTACTCTTTGCTCTGAAGTATACTATGTGGTAGCTGGTATCCTAGAAAGATATTTGAATGGTGATCAATTTTTTTAAAAATTTTTTTTGACAGGCAGAGTGGACAGTGAGAGAGAGAGAGAGAGAGAGAGAGAGAAAGACCTTCCTTTTTCCGTTGGTTCACCCCCCAATGGCCGCTGCAGCCGGCACACTGTGCTGATCCGCCAGGAGCCAGGTGCTTCCTCTTGGTCTCCCATTCGGGGGCAGGGCCCAAGCACTTGGGCCATCCTCCACTGCACTCCCGGGCCAGAGCAGAGAGCTGGACTGGAAGAGGAGCAACCGGGACAAAATCCGGCGCCCCAACCAGGACTAGAACCTGGTGTGCCGGCGCCGCAGGCGGAGGATTAGCCTATTGAGCCACAGCGCCGGCAATTATTTTATGTAAGGACTAACTTTAGTTTGACAAGGGGAACTTTTGACTAAATAAATTAATAAGCTCTAAATGGTTCTCCTTCTGCTCTCTGAAAAAAAAAAAAAAAAAACAACATATGCCTATGAATTCATGACGCCATGCCATGGTTCTCTTTTTTCAAGACACTGCTCATCTCCTTTGATGTTCTGACAGCATTAGGGATTCCCTATTCTTCATTAAAGCGGCAGGACCGGAGTACAGGAGAGTGGGCATTGCAAGCCATTTTGAAAATGCTGGTTCTGAGTGTCCTGTTGAGTTTGTCGCCACTTGATTGGCCAACTGAACACTCATGAAAAATCTAACTTATTTTCTATATCAAAGCTCATAGTTGTCATAAACATATTTTAACTTGTAAGTATACATTATTTGAGGCAGTATGTTCATTGAGCAGATTTTTTTTCTAATTAGAAACCGTGTTGAGAATCAGCTGATATTGCCGGATTTCCCAGCATAGATTGTTTGAAAAGATATTTACAATCTCATCTATCCTGCAGGAGTCCCCATCAGGCAGCCTAGAGGTTCCATTGAACATCAGAGATAGTTGATTAAAGTTCTCCAACCCTGGGTTTGAGTTTCCAGATAAAACAAGTTTGTTGACATGAATATATGGAGGCAATTGATAACAATCTGACACACCCTGGTTTGCATCTCTTCTGGAAGAAAGAGAAGTTTATTGTGAACAATATTTTTGAAAAACTGCAATCTCAGTAGGCCTTATTGGCGACTTTTTTTTTTGCACATTTCCCTAGTATTCATAACTGATGCTACAGGTATAATGCCATGGGACATCCATTCATAGTTGAGCATTATGTCTTCCTATTCACATCAGATTTTGCAAGGAAGAGCCAGACCCCAAGTGGAAATCTTCCTATGGCTTCATCGAGCCTGGAGGAGAATCAAGGTTAAAAACGTGGTCAGATCAGCCATTTAGGGTCTTTTACCCCTAAGCAGCCAAGCAGCTGCTGACATGGAACACATGCTCCCTGGGATTGTTATGTCTCCGTCTGTGTTGTTTCAGGCAAGAGTTTGGCTCAGATCAATGTCCAGACCTGACAAGGGAAGTGTACCTCCAGGACATCCACTGTGTGGGCTCACTCTGCAAACTCTACTTTAGGGAGCTGCCCAACCCCCTCCTGACTTACGAGCTCTATGAGAAATTCACGGTGAGTCTTTGGATTTCCGCTATGGTTATGGGTGGGATGCATGAATGGGACAAGGAGAGCTTCAGCACTAAACTAGCAACAATTGTGTTCAGCAGATGGTTGATATTATCTCAGCATGGTGATGGCAGTAGGATGGTATGGTGAGAAAAATAGGGTATGGAACTGCTCGCTGAGTTTTCTTTCTTGAGTTCTCAGAATTGTGTTGTTTGTTTTAAGAGCTGGGTTAAATTATCTCCTCGTTTTCTGTGATTGAATGTGTCTCATTGTACAGGGAGGAAACTGAGAAACAGAGATGCAAGGTGCCTTGCCCAAGGTCACACAGTAGAAGCAGGACAGGAACGTGAGACTTGAGCCGCTAGTTCATGTTTATCAGGCAATTCCTTCTGTGTTTCTTTTTGGGAAAGGTGGGGTGTGCAGATAGGCAGGAGAGAGAAAACAAGCAAAAGTCAGCAGAAAGGTTAGGAAACTGTGAAGAGATAGAATCTGAGGAAAGCAGGTAAAGAAGGAATGCAGCAGGGCTGGTGAGTTGGGTTGGAGGGAAGGACGCTGGGCGGGAGCAGAACACTACAGTGGCAACTGTGCGGTCCCCATTTAGGGCACCCACAGGGAAGTAGAAATGAGACTCAGTGCTTGATGTGTGTCAATATCAATAGCTTTAAAAATAGGGCTTGGATGTTGGGCTGCATGAATAGAGGTGTAGAGGAGGCAGAGCTGGGATTAACCAAGGCTAAGGTTCAGCTAGCAAAAGAGGGATGAAGGAGATGAGGGTAGATGCCAGGACGTGGTTGAAATAATCGATCAGGGAATTCAGTCTGGATAAGAAAGGAAATGAGGGCGTAATAATGATGAATAAGGAGGGAAAAGTAGATTATGCATTCCAGCGAGTGCAGTGGAGTGTTGGAGTAGGACGGGGAATACTGGAAATTGAGATTATGGAGGATTTGCAGTTGTTAGAAAGAGCCAGATCAAAGTTCAAACAATAGGAACGATTCAGGTTGTTCCATAGAACAATGGTTATTGTAATCAACTTATTTTGAGTGTTTAATATAAGAATAAATGAATGCTACTTAAAAGTTGGATATGGGCATTAAAAATATATTTAAGAGTTTTCGGTGGTACTAGGAAATACTCATGATAATGTTTGAAAAAAATCCAGAATACACAATTGTATAATAACAGGGAAACATTTATAATAATATTTCAATACAAATCTAAAATACAAACTGTATATTAAGAAAGGATTGAGGGGGCTGGCGCCGCGGCTCACTAGGCTAATCCTCCACCTTGCGGCGCCGGCACACCGGGTTCTAGTCCCTGTCGGGGCGCCGGATTCTGTCCTGGTTGCCCCTCTTCCAGGCCAGCTCTCTGCTATGGCCAGGGAGTGCAGTGGAGGATGGCCCGAGTACTTGGGCCCTGCACCCCATGGGAGACCAGGAGAAGCACCTGGCTCCTGCCACTGGATCAGCGCGGTACGCCAGCCACGGCAGCTATTGGAGGGTGAACCAACGGCAAAGGAAGACCTTTCTCTCTGTCTCTCTCTCTCTCACTGTCCACTCTGTCTGTCAAGAAAGAAAGAAAGAAAGAAAGAAAGAAAGAAAGATAGATAGATTAAGGGATCCAACATTGTAGTACAGTGAGTTAAACCACCATCTACAACACTGGCATCCCATACCAGAATTCCAGTTTAACTCCTGGCTGCTCAGCTCTCTGCTAATATGCCTGGTAAGGCAGCAGGAGATGGCCCAAGTTCTTGAGCCCCTGCCACTCACGTGGGAGACCCTGATAGAATTTCAGGCTCCTGGCTTCATCCAGCTGTTGTAGCCATTTGGGGATTTCTCTGTCTCTCCCATAGGTATTTCCTTCAGTCTTTCATTCTTTGCATGGTGTTTTTGTTGTGATTTGTTTTCTCAAATGAAAACAGGATTTTATTGTAAAATTAAAGCAATAAGAAAATTAAAGCACCTGAAATAGCATACACCAACCACATCTTCTACTAACATTTATAATCTCTCTCTCTTTCTCTCTTTCACACACACACACATAGTTGTCTGTCTGTCTCTCTCTCTTCCTTAATGTCCTCTCCCATATATACACTCTCAGTTTTTATTATTATACTATATATTTCTACTTTGGAACTTTTAATTAATTTATTTATTTGAAAGTCAGAGTTACACACAGAGAGAAGGAGAGGCAGAGAGAGAAAGAGGTCTTCCATTCACTGGTTCACTCCCCAACTGGCTGCAATGGCAGGAGCTGAGCCGATCCGAAGCCAGGAGCCAGGAGCTTCTTCCAGGTCTCCCAAGCGGGTGCAGGGGCCCAAGGACTTGGGCCATCTTCTACTGCTTTCCCAGGCTATAGCAGAGAGCTGGATTGGAAGTGGAGCAGCTGGGACTTGAACCAGCGCCCATATGGGATGCCAGCACTGCAAGTGGTGTCTTAACCTGCTACGCCACAGAGCCAGCCCTGGAACTATTTTGACTAAAAAATGTGAATATCTTTCCATGTTAATAGATACAGAGACACTTTTTACAGAATATTCCCTCCTATGAAACCAGTATCCTGCTGATAGACATTTAGATTTTTTTGTTTCTCAATACTTTGCTTTAATAAACAGCAATATAACAAGCATTTTTGCATATGTATCTTCACACTGAATATCCTTAAGGGAGAATCACTGAAGCAGATCTGCTGAGCAAAGAGTCTTTATTTTAAAATTTTGTTACATATTGCCAAACTGTCCTCCAGAGAGACAGTAATGCTCTTTTCCCTGCAGCCTGGCCAACACCGTGTATTTTCAATTTGTTAAGCTATTTGCCAATCTGAATCTGCCAAAAGTATTATCTTATTTTTGTTTTAATTGTGCTTAAGGCTTTATTGTTTGTTTTCTGCATATGTTGTCAGTACAACAGTGTCATCTTCAAATATGATAAATTAGAATATCATCATGTTAGTGAACTGGATGAGACAAATTTCTTTTAATAGTATCTCATTCTATTTTTGGGGTAGATAGGGATTCTTACTTAGAAACCTTAGAAATAAGAATTTCTCTGTAGATCTTACATACAGACTCCAAACAAGGTCCATATTTATCTTTCCCCATTCCTGTTTCCAGATATTGCTAACCATTCTGTTCTCTTACACCAACTTAAAAATACCATAGCAACATTTTGTCAACTTATCATCAGATACGAAGGAAATCTGTCATCATATTTAGGTGGCATATTTGGACTAAAAAAAATAGGAATGTTTCATTGTGCTGGCTAACTTCTCATGGGTAGAACCTAATGAGGTTAACTATGTTGAAGAACTCATTATTTAATAGGTTTCTTTAAGCACAATAATAAATATGATAACATAAGCAAACTTTCTTCAGGGACATGGGAATAGCTCTGTTACATTATCACAATAATTTATTGAAACCTACTTGTGCAGCAAGGATAGAATTATATCTCAATGGAATAACAGTAAGGAAATATTAATGAAATAATAGTGATTTTAATAGATACCTCATTGAGTGATTTCTATGTGATAAGCACATTATAAATATTATTTCGCTTACTCATTAAAATAACCCTATGAAGTAATTTTGTTTGTCTCTTGTACAAATGAGTAAATTCAGACTCAAAGAGAGTCCTGCTTGGGATGATACAGTTAGTAAGTGCAGATAAAGATTTAAAATTCTGTCTCATGACTCCCACACTACTTAAAAATAGAGATAGCACTTAAATAGGATCATGTATTAAGTAACTGAACAGTTAAAAAACTTAAACATGAAAAACTGATGAAAAGTTAAAAAACTTAACGTGAAAAACTAAACAGGTACAGTTCTTGAGACAATGTAGGAAGAACTGGTTAACTATTAGATAAGATAAGGGGGAAATCAAGTTACAGCCTTACCATTCAGTAGATTTCAGGGTAGAGAAAGGTTTTCCAACAATGAAAGCAATGGGAAAGATCACAAAAGGGAAACTTAACAAAGTGAATAATGGATAAATTATTTACCTATTTTAAAGTATGTTAATAAAAATAAAGATAATGAACAATTATAAAAGCTATAATAAAATGACAGGGAATTAAAATTCTTTAATGATATAGAACACTTGCTTACCAATACAAAGAAAAAATAACTTCCCACTAAACAAATGAACAAAGAATAATTCATAGAAAAAGAAACATAATTATTTTAAAATTATCAATTACTAGATCATATAGTTGTATATTTAAGCAATTTTTAATGTTGCCATTTCATGCTGGCAAGCCTGTCATAAGACTGACTATAGTTTTCTACTGAAGGTATAAATTGGATATCTCAGAAAATCATTTCAAATTACCTGTATGGATCCTAAAGTGTTTGTATTCTTTCTTTACCCCTCTCCCTCTCCCTCCCCGTCCCCTCCCAGTCCCCCTCCCCCCTCCCTCACCCTCTCTCAATCCCTCCCCTCCCCCTCTCCCTCCCCCTCTCCCTTACCCTCTCCCAATCCCTCCCCTCCCCCTCTCCCTCCCCCTCCCCCTCCCTCTTCCTCTCCCTCCCCCTCCCCTCTCCCACACCTTCTCCCAATCCCTCCCCCTCCCACTTTCCCTCCCCTCCCCTCCCCCTTTCCCTCCCCCTCCCCTCACCCTCTCCCTCACCCTCTCTTACCCTCTCCCTCACCCTCTCTCTTACCCTCCCCCTCCCCCTCCCCTTCCCCCTCTCCTTCCCCCTCCCCCTCTCTCTCCCTCTCCTCCTATTCCTCCCCCTCTCTCTCCCTCCCCCTCTCTCTCCCTCCCCCTCCCCCTCACCCTCACCCTCTCCCTCCCCCTCCCCCTCTCCCTCTCCTACTCTCTCCCTCCCCCTCCCCCCTCCCCCCTCCCACACCCTCTCCCTCTTTCCCCCTCCCCCTCCCCTTCTCCTCCCCCTCTCTCTCCCTCCCTCCTCTCCCTCTCCCCCTTCCCTCTCCCCCTTCCCTTTCCCTCCTTCCCCCTCCCCCTCCCCCTCTCCCTCACCTTCACCCTCTCCCTCC